GGTGCCCGCGGGCCGCGCCGGAGGAGGCAGCAGGCTCCCCGGCGGGTTGCAACCCGAGCGGGGGGCGCCCCCGGCACGTTCAACCCAGCCGAGCCTGGAGGCGCAGCGCATCGCGCCTGCTCGGGCTCCGCCAAAGGCCGCAGTCCTTTGCTTCCCATCCCCAGGTGACCCCAGGCGAGGAGCCGCAGGACAGAGGGGCTCGCCCCTGCCCCACTGGGGCCCTCCCGCACCCGGGCAGCTGAGGATTTATGGATGGCAATTAAAGTTTTATGAATTGCGGCGGAGGCTGGCCACTGAGCTATTCCAATGTGATTAGAATTCAATTAGAAAGTGTTTACCGGCCGGCGGCCCCGGGAGGGTAAACAGGCAGCTATTCCAGCAATGTGCTAATCCCGCGTCTTGTGACAACAATTAGGGAGCTGCGGCTTAGGGCCGGTCGGCCCCGACTCGGCCCGTTGAGGCGGGCTGCGGAGGGGCTCCCGGAGTCGCAGGTACGGGCTATGGGGATAGAGGGCAAAAGCGAAACTGCCCCACCTGCTCCCGGCTCAAAAGAAAAGCCAGGCTAGGTAGCCAGCCAGCTGCGCACGGGGTCTGAAGTGCGCCGGCGTTTCCAGGGGCTGTTCTCATCCCCAGCCCAGCCGCGGGAAAGGCAAACACGACTTCAGTCACCCTGAGCTCGAGTCTGCCTGGTCTTTCCTCCCTACTGCAGATCCACCGTGCAGCTCTGCTCTCCTATCATCCTGGAAGGGCTGGGGGGCGGGGGGGACAAGCTCTCTGCTGCGCCAGATCCGATCTTGCGAGGGAAATGGCCTCGTGTCAAGGGAAGTCAGACCGAGTAAGGATCAGATCGGGCTTTTAAGCCGTAATTGTTATAATAAACCGAGCTCAGCGATGGGGAGAGACAGAAAGCAGCGCTTTGCGGGCACCGCTACCCCAGCCCAGGCGGAATGATGCTCGGCGCGCGCCCACATCACAGCGACCTCCTCACTATTTTATTTTTCAATAATTCTGTCCGATAAAATTTCATTGCCCATTAAGTAATCCCCGAAATGAGCGCTCTTATGAGCCTATAATGAGCTCTAATTGCCACGACTAGTCGAGCCACGTGGAAGGATTTAGAAGGTATTAAGCAGTCGGGTACAGAGCACAGGCTGTTACCTAGCCATTACTTTCATAATTCAAGGAGAAAATTAGTCCTTTTAAGGGAAAATCCTTTGATTCCCTCCATTCTGCTCGGGGTGACAGGGTATAGCTTTGTCTGCCTTTAGTTCAAGACGCTGGAACAAATGAGAATGTAACGAAATTGCCCCCTTTTCAAAGTGGAGCAGTTCAAAAAGAACAGCAGAGCTGCTCCCCTCCGCAGGGCCAGCGACGCTCACGTCTCCCCTTTCTCCCAGATGTCCCCAGCACCTTTATTCCTAGGAGATTCACGGCTTCGGTGACAAAAGCCACCCCCCAGCCCCCAATGCCTCCGAAGGGAATGGATCTGCCTGGGGGGCTGGGCAGGGATCTGGCTAGCAGTGCGGGCACACGGTTCCGAGTTAAACTCCGCAAAGCCCGGCAAATCAACCCCCCCGGTGCATCTGCTGCTCTGGAGCAGTTTAGCAGCCGAGCGGGATATTGCCCCGCGTTTGCTGCTCAAAATGTATTCCTCACATCTAACCCCGATTTCAGATTCGCCTCCAAAGCATTCCGCGATCTCGAATCGGGTTTTTGTTCCGGGGGACACAAACAGGAGCCAGGACTTGCCCCCAGCTCCCATTAATGAGGTCATTAGAAAAGCGTGAACAAGTCTATTAATGTTTTATTGAAAGCGCATCGTTAACTTGTATCCATCCTTCTCTGAAAGTGGCATTGTGATATTGCTGTCTGTGGCACATCTTACCCAATATAGCCCGAGATTTCTCCATTATCTGTAACCAAGCAACACTTTCTGAATACCAAAAATTGAAAAGAACCGCTTAGTCTTCAAGAAAGTCCTCAATAATAGTGGAAAAGAACAAAGATCCAGGAGACAACAAAATGCCACAGGGGTGACTTTTCATGAGCAATTATCTCTCATTAATCAGAAGAACAGCTGCAATATTAATTTTCTCTCTTTCTTCCTCTCTTTTCACAGTCCCCACCATTTGAATAATCATAAATTTTTATTTCATGGAAGAGCAACATTTCCAGTGACTGGAAGAGACGAGCTACCTATACAAGGCGGACTTTTTTAGCCAACAGCTCTTATTTGCAGGCTGCCAAAGAGTAAAAGGGGGGGCACGAATAAAAGAGTGAGGTGGGGGGATGTTTTTTCCTCCTCCTTGAGTGCGGATTGAAAGAAGGGACACTCCCTCCCCCAGCCGCCTTCACTCCACCCTGCCTGTTTCCCTCCTGCGAGCGAGCAGGGCAGTGTAGCGAGCAGCGGCAGTGGCTACAGCGTGGGAGTTTCAACATCCCCGCTGTCCATTTAACTTCCAAACATCAAGCCAAGCGTTGTAGATCTGTCCAAAGAGACAATCTTTGGGCGTAACACGCATTGTAGCACATCAAAAGGCCCTAGCATTATATGAACTCAGAAGTGCATTCAGCAGAAATGGGGCAAGAGTTCCCTTTTCAGGGTCTTAGACTCCGATTGTTCGCAGGAGATGTAGTGGCAGAAAACTAGGATCCTCCCAAGATAAGGATGTAACGTTAAAACGCCGCTTTCGGGTTTCAAAGGCAGAGCCTGGCAATCACAAAAAGGAAAGGCTGCGCGTCGGGCTGAAAAGGGGAATTTCAGCCCCAGCCCCCCTGTCCGGGGAGAAAGCATGGGGTGAACTTTACAGCTGGGCAGCAAGCGGGTTTATTTAGAGATCGCGCCTCTCGCCTGATTGCCCGCGGCGTTTATTGGCTCAGCGCTTAGCAAACTTTATCTTTCCTAAAAGCAGCCGAGCTTTTCTGCTGCGAATGGGAGCGCTCATCAAGTGCCGGCTGAAGTGACAGCCTGGGCTTTTATTTTTCACGGCGGTTATAATCTGACATTTGTCCTCCCTTATAAAATGAGCAACAACAATAATGGTGGTGATGATTCACCAGTTCTGAATGAACAGAACCTCCAGCTGTAGGACTTCCTGGCTTTATTCTAGGGCAGACCAGGTTCTTTGGGTAAATCTGATATCTTTTATTAGACCAACTCAAATAGTTGGGAAAAAAAATCTTCTTTGCGAGCTTTGGTTTATTCCTATGATCTCAGGAGTCCCTTTATCACATGATTGGAACAGCAGCCGCGATGGGCTCTGTCCAAATGCAGTCCCAGCCGGGAAGGGAAGGTCGCTTCAAAGTTTAGCTAACAGGATAGGAAGTGTTAGCCTGGCCGTTGCTAAACCACTCTCGGCAAGGGTTTGCCCGAAAAGAGCCGCTCTTTGGGGAAAGTCTCTCTGCTGCTAGTTAATAATCAATCCGCAACCTGCTTTCAGCACCTGAGCTGGTAACCAGCTGACCGAAAGGATCTCGCACCTTAGGAAGCAAATGTCTCCAGACGCAAGTGGATGCCTCCTGGCCTGCATTGTGCATGCCTAGGATTTAGGGTTACCAGCTGGTCTTCGGCGCCAAGTCTCTCCTTAAAGGAAGAGAATTGAGTTGCTCTGCTCGGCTTTTGCTCCGTGCGATCAGCTGTAGACAATCGGGCCAGCGGGCGAAAAATGTTTTTACAACCGCTCACCTGGTTTCCCCCCCCATTAAAGCACAGCAGAATGCCAAAAAGTCAGTGCATCCCCCTGCCGCTGTTCCTGTCCGTCTGCAGACCCACGAGGGCAGCATCCCCACCCCAGTGGGTCACTCAGTCTCCTCTGCTGAACAAACAACAAACATCCTGGTTTTTCTCTGATTTAAAGACAATCCCCAATTTTCAGTTAAAATAAGTCACTCCAAATCCACATTTTCCCGTGATTTAAATGAAACGTCACTCATCTGAGTGGTGTTCCATTTTAGTTATGGACAAATGTGGATTTGAGGTTACTTTTTTTAACCGAAAATTGGGGATTTTTTCAACATCGGAGAAATCCAGGATCCCTGCGTTAGGGCACCAGGGGCCAAAGGGCCGAGCCCAGATACTTCCCCCCCTCCAGACCCGGGGCGATCTCAGCCTCCAGGCTTTGTGAGTTTGCGAAGCTGTGCCGGAGGCAGACGGGCGCCAGAGGAAGGCGTGAGTGCGGAGACCTGGGACACGGGCGAGCTTTGGAAGCTGCCGGTTGATTGCCCGGGATCTGCAGTGGAAGAAACCTCTGGGTGCTACTAAACCTGCCCGGCTTCATTGTCACTCAACACCTTCTGCTTTAAAGTGTGAAATATTTGAATTGAGAACCTCTCTCCCTTCCGGAAGGGCGATCGTCTCTGCAACACATCGGGGATCTTTCTTTTGGCCCAGAGTCTGCACCCGGCTTGGATGCTTGTCTAGGCGGACCTTAGTTACCGCTTGAAAGCTGCAGCCCGGAGACCTCCCTCTCTCCCACGGGGCCGGGCCGCTGTCCTCCCCGCCCAGCTATCGCACCGGTAGCCCCTGCGCAGGACGCAAGACAGAGCCTTCCCTCC